CAATTATACCTATATATACTTATCCATTTATACCTATATATAAGGAACATAAAATTATTTAAAATAAAAAAAAAATCCACAGATTGGGTCATCCATCCCCTCTTTGAGCAAGAACACAGAGATAACAAAACTCAAAAGAGAAAGAACATATTAATTTATAACACATACCAGCAGGAAGTTGTATAGTATTAGACAATCGACATAGCATAGCAAAATGTCCATTGCCTTCTCTCAGTAGAGCTTGCTAATCAACGCTCTCACTCTATCCTACAAACCCAACAACAACAAGAACCTGATTCCTCTGAATTCCATACACATCCATGAAACACACACAGACACACACACACACACACACACACACACACACATATATATAGAAAAAGAGAAGAGGAGAAGAGAGAAGACAGGCGACAGTGCAGCAGTGACGAAAGAGGAAGAGGCGACGGCGGCGACGGTGACGTGAGAAGATCGACTTCCTTTCTCTTTTCTCTCTCTCTCTCTCTCTCTCTCTCTCTCTCTCTCTCTCTCTCTCTTCCTCACTCCATCTGTTTCATAGATAAAAGAGAGGAAAAAAAAATCAAAACGATGTCGTTTTAAATTCGGGCCACTCGAGTCTCAGAAATTTCGAGCTCTGAAGCATTTTTCTTTTGAGAATTGAAAAAAAAAATAGAAAACAATTAGAGTGGGTGTTCTGCTTTTTTAAAGAAGTTTAGATAGATAATAATAATAACAATAGTAGTAGTAGTAGGAGGAGGAGTAGTAAATAGATAGATAGCTAATTGATAGTAGATTAATGTAGGCAAGTAAACAAGGTTTTGTTGAACTGGTGCAAGTAAGCAAGGTTGGTCTTGCTGTAATGTTTAATAAATTTGAAAAGATATTTTTAGAATTTGTAAAAAAAATAAAGGAAAAATTACTCATAAATCCCATAGGGGGAAATGTTACTCCATTTAATCCTAAGTTTTTTTTGTCAGACTAGTTAGTCCTATTTGTTTTTGGTATGTTGTAGTTGTTTGATTTGTTGGGTTTGGAGTTTACTTTTTTACCCTTGTTTGTGATTTTATTTTGATTTTTGCTGGTGTGTGTGGTATGGTAGTCTTAAAACATTACTATTTCTTGTAGGAGGGGATTACGTGAACTGATTTGGAAGTTTATGATGTTACCCAGTTGATGTTTATTTGTTAACATGGAATCAGTGTTTATTGCTTAGTATTGATGTGCTGTGTGACTTCTTTGCAGGTTGGTATTCTTTTCATTTCTCTACTTTTGATTGGCTGGACCATGGTGTTCTGTGAAAATATACATTAAAAAATTTTTCCTTGCAAAATTCGACGATGGGTGGTTTGTGAACATATACATTAATAGTGTTCATATTTTCATTGAATGGTGTAGTCATGATGGTGATCTCATTTTTAACAGACCACAATAGATTATGAGGATATGGCAAATTGGATATGGAATAGATATGATGATATATTTGCATTTTTGTTTTTCATTGTGTTAATTTCGTGGAAATTCAACATTGCAATGTACGTAATGTTGTAACCATGTAATGCATAAGTGACATTCCATCAATTGATTCTACATAGACTAACCATGCACATTCATATGTCCTTAAATCTGTGCATGTAATGTTTTTTTTTGTTGTTGGCAGGTATGGAGTTTGCAGTGTTACTATTGTGTACGCTCAGGCAGACAAATGCCACCCGACATGCTTGTGTGCGATGTAGTTGCAAAACACGAACTCAAATTGTGGAAAAGATGCACCACACTGCTAGGCTATAAATGTTATTGTGCACCTAGTACCATGTTCGTATCAAGTATCTTACGGCGTTCACCATGTCCCTTGCTGTCAACGACATGCTTGTGTGCGATGTAGTTGCAAAACATGAACTCAAATTGTGGAAAAGATGCACCCTACTGCTAGGCTGTAAATGTTATTGTGTACCTAGTACCATGTTCGTATCAACTATGTTACGGCGTTCACCATGTCCCTTGTTATCAACAAATGTTGTTATGATATCAGTATCAACTACATTACGGCATTCACCATGTGTTCATCACTGCAATGGGTGGTTGAAATTCACATTGGACTGTAACGCCCCAACCCTTCATAGGTCATTGATATTGTCCGCTTTGGGCCACGCCCGCACGGATTTGTTCTTTCCAGTGGGTCACCCATCCCAAAACTACTCCAGCCTAAGCACGCTTAACTAGAGAGTTCTGTTACGGATTACACCACTTGGGAAAAGGCCTCGATACTATATAAGGGTTTAGGTTTTTACTTTTATAACCCAGGAACTCCCCCTCCATTCCCGATATGGAACATCGGGACCTTACAATCACTCCCTTTAGGGTTGCATATCCCCATGCAGTAGCTTACCAGCTCACAAGCCCGCCCACATGCATCGAGAGACGCCAGGGCCCACATTCAGTACTCTGGAGAGTCGGCTCTGATACCATTTGTAATGCCCCGACCCTTCATATGTTATCGATATTGTTCGCTTTGGGCCATGCCCGCACGGATTTGTTCTTCCCAGTGGGTCAGCCATCCTAGAACTATGCCAGCCTAAGCATGCTTAACTGGGGAGTTCTGTTAGAGATTTCACCACTCGGGAAAAGGCCTCGATACTATATAAGGGTCTAGGTTTTACTTTTATAGCCTAGGAACTACTCCATTCCCAATGTGGGACACCGGGACCTTACATGGACTAAGGGTCATATTGGTGTTTATAGCACCCATTTTGTGGGGGAGGGTGGGACCATGAAAGCATAGTTTATGTAGTCATGCTTGTGTGTAACATAATTGCAAAACACAAACTCAAACCGTGGGAAAAAATGCACACTACTGTTAAGTTGTAGATGTTGTTGTGTAGCTAATACCATGTAATAAAATTCATTCGTTCTAATGTGTCACTGTAACACCAACGTAAACAATCAACCGTTTGTGACTGTCAATTTGATTTCCTATTAATGGACAACAAAATGCCAACGCCCAACAGCATCGTTGTCAAATAATTTCACACTATTCAATACATGTGTCAATGTTCAATCTAAAGCCGATCTTGTTAAATTAATGGATGTCATTTTCTTCTTTTTGAATGGCAGTTGTGCTTGCTGTCTCATTACCAATTGTGTCGATGTCTGTACTGAAGATCGCGATCGTGGTGTTCTCCTATTGCCTTTCTAGTTTGAGCTCTTTCGGTTTGAATTGCCTGTAATAATATTAAGAGCACCAAATTAATATATTGGGAATACAATACGCACTTTCGCAAATACATGAAATATTCACATTTTAACACAACAACGCCACCCCGACAAAAACAAATTTAACACATCACAACACTGTTACACCTCGTACTTTCATTACACCACAATGCCGTTACACAACAATGACAATTCTGACACAAATGGTGAACACCGAATGTTAACAACAATAGTTACACATCAGGTATGTTACTAACAATATGCCATTGTCTACTATGTGACTACACATTGCATGCCCACCAAAAACAATAACTATTAATGGACTCACAACACCTACCGCACTCACAACATCACTTTGACCACCCACTGCACACCCAAAATGCAATGAACATGCAATCTTCACGGAAATGTACGCTACACAACAACTGGCAAAGCCTACTACAATTGCCACGATGTTCACAACGTACACCGAACTAGACTCCCTCAAACACACCTAAACTACATGATTCTCATTAAATACTTTCCCACCCACATTACACCACACCAATGCACCCATATCACATAATATCGGCAACTTTGAACTCAAAGTTAACGTATGACAACTACGCTAACACTAACCACTATCACTCCAATAAAACGATACTACAATACGCACATAGTTCCGAGATGTGAATAACAATTCACAATTACACATGAATAATTATTTATGCCACTAACACCCTCCGTAAACAGGGAACCGCATTCTACATCACATTAATACCAACACAACCAACGCAGACATCACGCTCGTCAAAAAACATCACAACACCCCCCCCAAAAAAAAAACCACATTCAGTGGCACACCCAACAGTTACAAACATCCAAAAGCACACACTCACAGAGAGAATGGTCCCCTACCCACATTTACATACAAACAACAAGACAAACACAGACAACCCAATCATAATAAGCACCCTGTCACTACTACACCAAATTGCAAATTGCCCCTAATGGATTTTTGAAAATAACACCCACAAATATATTATTACAATTAACATCACATAATAAGGGCTACTATTTGACCCTACCATCAACATAACTCGACACCCAACCTGCCCTTAACCCATATCACACTTAAAACATTACAAATTGGCACACAATGTACACGTTAACATTACAACATATCCCAATGCCATCCACCCAATCTTCAGAATCAAACGTCAACTACACAATTTCACGATTATATAACAAAAAAACCAAACAACACATCAGGAAAATACATACTTGTTGCCATTGGTACCATCAATAAACGCTGACGCTGCCGGTGGTAGCTGTGGAACACACCGTGAGATGCTGGACAAATCGCGATATGGCCCAACAACACGACAGTTGTAATGTATTTGTGAGGAGGGTTTTAGCAATCTAGGGTTTGGGGGAGGGAAGGAATGAAATGTTAATTGGGGAATAAACATTAACATTACCAAATCAAACAGTGATACACACAAATTGACTGTCTATCATCGCTGCAAAATTAAAAACTTTCCATATTTATCTTCCCGTTTTGATCGTGCAAGAGGGAAACCAAAACTCACAACAATATACCTTTGGCCATTTTGATAAATTTAACATCAGGTAGAATTCATATTTATCCTCATAATTCACTGCACACGCTTTTCAAAACATGGGTAAATTTAAGATTTTTTTTAAGATTTTTAAAATAGTAATAATAGATTAAAAAAAAAAAAAGTATATAAAATAAAGTAGCACAGTGGTGGGGACAAAGATATGAAAAAATTTGCCTTCGGACACCAGAGCACCCCTTCTTGTCCATTTTTGTTTCTCAAAAAAAGACACCGAAAGCGAAGGCAAAACATCAATCAGCCGAGATCTCTCACTCTCTCTCTCCCCCCTACAGTAGATATGCCTTCCATTAATAAACAAATCCAAAGTTTCAATGCCACCAACCCCTCTCCCTCGTTTTCTATACAATCCCCACTTTTTCAAGCTTTCTTTAACCAATGGTTGACCTGATTCAGGCCTTCCTTTACGAATACACGTAACTTTAATAAACAAAAAAGAGAGACAAAAAGAAAACAGATATATAGATATAGAGAGAGAGAAAGAGAGATTTAGAACAGAGAGAGAGAGATGGGGAATTCGTTTGGGTGCTCGGCGTCGGGAGAGAGGTTGGTGTCGGCGGCGAGAGACGGCGATTTGGTGGAGGCGAAGATGTTGCTTGACTGCAACCCTTTCCTCGCCAAATACTCCACCTTCGGAGGCCTCAACTCCCCTCTTCATTTCGCCTCCGCTAAAGGCCACAACGAGGTTATCCCCCATTTTCACCCTTTTTTTTTGTTTTTGTTTTTGTTTTGTGATCCGTATGACATGCTTTGTTTTATATATCTATTATTAATGAATGTGTTATTCTTTGTTGATTGATTGTAGATTGTTGCTTTGTTGCTTGACAACGGAGCTGACGTCAATTCCAGAAATTACTGTGGTCAGGTACGAGATCTCGATTTCTTTCTATTTGATTGTTTGTGTCTTTGAATCTGATCCTTCTCTATTTGATATTTCATTTGATTGTTTTTTTAGATCAACTCGGTTTTGTGTTTGGTTCTGCAATTTGATTACTAGTTAAAAATAAATTAAAGCCTGAATCTTTCTTGAATTTATTACAAATTGGTGGATCTGTGTTGAATTTGTTGTTGTGTGTATTTGAAGACAGCATTGATGCAAGCGTGTCGATACGGCCACTGGGAAGTTGTGCAGTCTCTCCTGCTCTTCAAATGCAATGTGAGTGAGTTTGCCCCTTCATATACTAGTTTATATTTATTTTTCTTCTCTTTTTCTTTTCCATTTTACAGAGTATTTGTTATCAAACTGTGGAAGGGACTTCATTGATCCTTTGATCTCTGGTGTTGAATAGATGGTTTAAAACCACTGCTTCACAAGGCCGGTGGTTTGTTTACTTTATTCTTATTCTTGTTGCATTCTGAAGATTTTTGCAAGAATCATCATTTCTGATTGTCACCGATTTTACTTACTACTTTCAGGTTACAAGGGCAGACTATCGAAGTGGAAGGACAGCTCTCCATTTTGCAGCAGTGAGCGGGCATGTTAGATGTGTAAGACTTGTTGTGGCTGACTTTGTTCCAAGTGCCCCTTTTGATTCTATAAATGCTCAATCCAATGGCGACACAGGTGATGCCTCCAATGTTAAGAGCAAACATGACCGAAGGTATCTAATTTATTTCAGTTAGTTCTTTTCCCTGCATAAAAGTCAGTTTAGGGGTGCATCTTAGGCTGGTTCCGTCTACTTGAGGTGTTGCCTAGTGTCACGCCCCGAGAAATTATGTGACACGAAGGGCAGCATTTGAAGTGGGCCAAATGCGCTGGAAGGTTCCGGAAGGAGCAAGAACGGGCTAGAGTATGCTGGAAGACTCTAGAACGTGGTGGAAGGGTCTGGAGTGGCCTGGAAGATTCCGGAATGTGAAAGAACCTTGGAGTGTCCAGAGGAGTCTGGATGGGTCTGGAACATCCTAGAATATCCTGGAGAAGCCTACCATGTACTACACTAGTGTAGAGAGTTCTAGAATGTAGTAGATAGGGTAGTTGTCCTAGATAGTTTTATGGAGTGTTCTAGATGAGAGTTTGTAGCCCTTGGATCAAAATGATCTTAGCCATCCATTGAGGAGGGGGATGGCTATATAAGGGTGAGGGATCTCATTTGCTAGGCACCTAGAGACCTGGAGATCCTAGAGAGCTCTAAGAGTGAAGCACTTGTGAGTGTGAGTGTGAGTGTGAGAGCCTTGTAAGCTTTGTACACGACTATACTTGTAAAGTTAACTTGTATAGTGAAGGCATTCTTCCACCTAAACTGTGTGTGTTAGTGTGGTTGAGTGGCATTCTTTCACCTAAACTGTGTGTGTTAGTGTGGTTGAGTGGGTAAGGCTGACTTAGGTGCAACCAAGAGGGTTGAAAAGCATCTAAGGCCGCACGGTAGGAGGCTTGCGAAGTCTAAGTCCGTGATAGTTGGTATCAGAGCAAAGGTGTACATGGCTACGTCGTCCCCAGGGTGAGGAAGCTCTCAACGAAGGACTCGATGGCGGCATTGGAGGCACGACTCGAGGGGATGATGGAAAGTGTGGAAGAGCGCGGTTCACTAGACTTGAGGAAGCGCTAGTTGGCCCTGGTAAGCTCACATCTCATATGAGTGACTTTTTCTCCTATTTTGCTAGTTTGGTTGCTAGAGTGGAAGAGCTGGAGGAGAAAGTGGACTCCTTCGAGGGAAGGGTGAATTCGTCTCGCTTTGAGGTAGCTAGAGACAGTCCAATCCAGCAGAAGGCCCTGGAAGCAAGAGTAGCTAGCTTGGAGTTAGAGTTGGAGTTGTGTAAGAGGGCCATCGTCGCTGGCAATGGAGGGTATTTGGCTCCAGCCAGGAGGAGGGTTCATGCGCCAGAACCAAAGAGCTATGAAGGTGCGAGGGGTGCCCGAGAGAGCCATGCCAAAGGTGGGAGGCAGTCTCCTCAGACCACCGAGGATGAGCACAGTGATGGCGAGGCCCAGAAGAGACGGGAACGCCGAGGGAAGGGGCAACGCACCGGATCTCCGAGGAAGAGAGGGCAGCTTGAGTGTTTCCTGTGCAACGGACCGCACATGGTGAGAAACTGCCCGAAGAAGAAGAAACAGCTGAGTGCCATGGAGAAGAAGGGAAAGAAGGAGGCGAGGGACTCCGAGAGTGAAGACCCTTCAGAGAAGGAGGCACAGCTGGGGAGCATCCAACTTCTTGGGTCGATATCCCAGAAGAGTGGGGAGATGCCAGAGTCGAGGAACATCCAAAAAAAGGATGAGCGGTGCACGGAGGTGAAGGCTAAGGGGAAAACTTCACATGCGCAGGAGAAGAGAGGTGCCACTCTAAGCTTTGAGTGCACCAACGAGGCTAAGAGGCTGGGCTTGAAGAGGGAAGGGCGGCTCGAGTGTTTCCCGTGCAACGGACCGCACATGGTGAGGGACTGCCCGAAGAGGAAGGCACTTGCAGGGATGTAGCAGAGTGGGCTGCATGGCAAGGACAAAGCACTTGCAGGGATGCAGCAGAGTAGGCTGCATGGCAAGGACAAAGAGAAAGCACTTGCAGGGATGCAGCAGAGTGGGCCGCATGGCAATGGCAAAGAGGAGGCAAGCACCAGCAGCAGCAGACACAGATCATATCGAGACGTGGTGGCTCGGTATGCTTCTGCGTGACGAGGGCGTCACGGGATTGGGTGAGGGAGAGTGTCACGCCCGAGAAATTATGTGACACGAAGGGCAGCATTTGAAGTGGGCCAAATGCGTTGGAAGGTTCCGGAAGGAGCGAGAACGGGCTAGAGTATGTTGGAAGACTCTAGAACGTGGTGGAAGGGTCTGGAGTGGCCTGGAAGATTCCGGAATGTGGAAGAACCTTGGAGTGTCCAGAGGAGTCTGGATGGGTCTGGAACATCCTAGAATATCGTGGAGAAGCCTACCATGTACTACACTAGTGTAGAGAGTTCTAGAATGTAGTAGATAGGGTAGTTGTCCTAGATAGTTCTATGGAGTGTTCTAGATGAGAGTTTGTAGCCCTTGGATCAAAATGATCCTAGCCGTCCATTGAGGAGGGGGATGGCTATATAAGGGTGAGGGATCTCATTTGCTAGGCACCTAGAGACCTGGAGATCCTAGAGAGCTCTAAGAGTGATGCACTTGTGAGTGCGAGTGTGAGAGCCTTGTAAGCTTTGTACACGACTATACTTGTAAAGTTAACTTGTATAGTGAAGGCATTCTTCCACCTAAACTGTGTGTGTTAGTGTGGTTGAGTGGGTAAGGCTAACTTAGGTGCAACCAAGAGGGTTGAAAAGCATATAAGGCCGCACGGTAGGCTTGCGAAGTCTAAGTCCGTGACACTAGGCCCAAGCTGGATCGCGTTGAGACGTGCCCAAGACCAACCTTCAACCTTCGCTTATCTGCTCAAGCCAGCCCAAGCTTCACAATTTAAAGTCAGCATGCTCGAGTTCCCCGAATTGGCCAAGCACACAAAAAAATAAAAATAAATAAATAAAATCATGAAAGCTCCAAATGCTACAGTAAACAACAAATCAAGCAAGTCAAATAGAGATCCAAAATTATAGAATCAAAACTCATATATATACATTACACTCGATCTAACGAGCCAGATTCAATATCCTAAATAACGGTTTATAAATTATTGGTATTGTTGTTTTCTTACATATTTTAAAATATAGAATTTGGGTTTGAGTTGCCCGAGTTGCCAATCCCCTTTGGCAAAGTCAGGCCCAAATTACAATTTGGGCTTTTAAATCTTGCCCAAGTTCCAAAAACATGCTGCCCAAGCCCTAAACAAAAGCTCAAGTTAGGCTTGACCAAATTGCACCCCTAGTTTTTAGTATGTGTTTTGTGGGTCAATTATATGCATGCATGGATATTGTGATGAGGTAGAATATTTCGAGAATGTTTTCCAATTGCAACAAAAACATATAGTGGTCCCTTCGAAAGGAATGGCATGATAGAAATCTATGAAGCACGGATACAAATACATACATAGGACACGATGATTTCAAAAAAATGGGGACACAAATACGGATACGGACACGGTGGGAGGCATGAAAAATTTTATTTTATTTACTTTTTTTTTATATATTTTTGCTATGTAGATAAATATTATGTTACTAAATAATCAAAATTAATAAAAACTAACATTAATTCAATAAATATATAAAAACCACTACATTTAACTAAATTAATAGATCATCCATTCACCAAAAAGACATAATAAATGATAAGAGTTAAGATGACGAGGGAAAAACATTGAACATCGAACAATATTCTTTTTTTACTTTCTTAATTTACACTTTGACCTCAAAAGATGTTTTCAAAAATTAAAAAAAGAGTAAATTACCAATAGGTCATACTTTTGGGACTTATTACCCATTAAGTCCTATTGATAAATCAATCTATCTTGTTTTTATAAATAAATTTATAGTAATAAATTTATCAGTCAAGACCTGTGAGTAAATAAGTGTAATTAATATAACTGGTTAGTAAGTGCCCCTTTATAAAGGGGAATTTTTTTTAAGGTCCCTAATAGTAGTAATTTAGAGGATAGAGGACACCAAAAAGAGGGATGATGCATCAGGTCCCTTGGACCAAAATACCCTTCACAAATCAACTGAGAACACTCCACTGGATTCCGATGACTCATACAAACCACTACATTTAACTAAATTAATAGATCATCCATTCACAAAAAAGACATATAAACGATAAGAGTTAAGATGACGAGGGAAAAACATTGAACATCGAACAATATTCTTTTTTTACTTTCTTAATTTACACTTTGACCCCAAAAGACGTTTTCAAAAATTAAAAAAAGGGTAAATTACCAATAGGTCATACTTTTGGGACTTATTACCCATTAAGTCCTATAAATTTATCAATTTCTCTTATTTTTATAAATAAATTTACAGTGATAAATTTATCAGTTAGGACCTGCAGGGGTGACCATTGGTTCAATGGAAAAACTTTGGCCTAATAACCTTGAGGTTATGGGTTCAAGTCTTGAGGCAACTACTTTGTGCATTATGCTAAAGGTTAGGTGTGTACTTAATTTTTTCCCTCCCAAACACACATTAATGTGTACTAATAAGGCGTTGGTTTTTACCTGTAGGTAAATAAGTTTAGTTAATAGAACTAATTGGTAAGTGCCTCTTAAAAAAATGCCCTTGCTGTGTCTCCTGATGTGTTCAGTTTTGGACACACGTGTCCTTGCGAAAAAATAATAAAATGTCCTGTATGTGTCCCAAGCAAGGTTATTAAAATCGGGAACCTATGTTGGATTGTTAAAGGCCTTTGCCGGATCGGATCGAGGATCATAAGATCTAACCGAAAAAGACAAATTACCTAATAATTTAATTTAAATAAACATTTCTTAAAAAGTATATAAAAAATGAGCCTATATTCTATTAAAAAGAAGAGAAGATATTGTGAAAAATATAATACTCCATATAAATACATAATAATATTATACAATAGAAAGCTCGATAATAAAAGTTTTGTATTTTATCAAAAAAGGAGGTGAAAAAGAAGAATAATTCTATAACAAAATTCTTTATAATCTACAATAATGCATAAAAAATGAAGAAAAAATATTTAACAAAGTTGGATAAGAAAATAGATTAAGAACTCAAAAAAGTGGCTTAACTGAATAATAAGGTTTGTCGTTAGCATACCTAGTGGAGAGGATTTGAGTAACAAAAATAGTCTCTCCAAAAATTGGGATAAAGTTGCAATCATATTGCCCTCCTAGTTTGTTTTTCTGCTGGTTAGTTTTCTTGAATTACCGCAATATTAAAATGTCTGTTTCTTAATTTGTTTTTCTCAGTCTATTTGATTTAATACTACTTAATTTTTATTATTTATTTTGACCACATAAATTGGTATTTAGACAACAAAATATAAAATTTACAATAAAATATGTCATACAATACAAAACAAAGCTTGTAAATTGGATCGGATTGGATCGGATTCGGATTAGAATTCCACAATTCTATAAGATCCCATTACCAGAATCGATAGATCTACCTATAAAGAATTTTTTACACGATCTGGATCGATTGTGTCCAAATGGATCGTAAGATCGTAGGGTCATAAGATTCGGATCGGGATTCTGATAACCATGGTCCCAAGGGTGTCCTCGACTTGTCTCCATGTTCGACGGTGCTATAAGGATAAGGGAAAGACTTCAAAGGTTGTAACTTGACATGGTGAGAATAGAAAACTTTTATATTGACATGTGATAAAAATATGGCCCTAAATAGAGTGAAAACTTGAACATGATTCTAGAGACCCTTTTCGAGTTCAGCTAATGATAAGTGTTTAAGTTATTCTTGCTGCTTCTGTGTATATGCTGTAAAAATAAGTAGAAAACTTGCTGAACTAAGACAAATGAACAGTTCATGTCTGGCTACATGGTGCAATAAAACTGGTCTTCTCTAAGTTTTTCCACCAGAATTATAAATTAGATATATATAGACTGTAATTTCAAGAAAAAGCTGTATGCTATAATATGCCCAATAGTTATGATTTAAAAAATGACACAAAGCAATGTATTATTCTTTTCATTTTGTGATTATTTTTATTCAAATGCAGTGCACTGTCCAAGTTTGTAAATAAGGCTGCTGACGGTGGTATCACTGCTCTTCATATGGCTGCATTAAATGGTTATTTTGATTGCGTACAGCTTCTACTTGATCTTCAAGCGGATGTCTCTTCTGTGACATTTCATTATGGGACGTCAATGGATTTGATAGGTATGCCATTTATTTGAGATCCAATAACTTGTTTTATTGGTGGTTTGTTTGTTCTTGACTAATAAAAAGTAAATGTACTACTTTGTAGGAGCTGGAAGCACCCCTTTGCACTATGCTGCTTGTGGGGGAAATTTGAAGTGCTGTCAGGCAAGTTCTTGTTCTATTGAATGATTTTCTGAGATTTACAATTTCAATTAGTTTAGACATGATTATGCTCTTGTATCTACAGATCCTTCTTGCAAGAGGTGCCAGTCGGTTGACTTTAAATTGCAATGGGTAATATATTTAGAATACTTTCTCTGGTATCCAGTAGTTGACTTCATTCAATTATTATTTGTTCTATGCATTTCTTATGGAAATTTCAACATTTTTGCAGTTGGCTTCCTCTTGATGTCGCTAGGATGTGGGGGCGTCACTGGCTAGAGCCATTGCTGGCACCCAATTCTGACTCAACAATACCTATGTTTCTACCTTCTAATTATTTGTCTTTGCCTCTCATGAGTGTCCTAAACATAGCAAGGTAATTTGCAACTAACTACATTTACATTATTCACACCTATGATTTGCTTCAAAAGATTTGCTACCAATGGAATACAAATTTGTCAAGTTCGTTTAGAGGGTCTCCATGTTATGTTTAGCTAAATTTTGTTAACTCAAAAAGGAATTGAGGGAATTTCCATTATGAAGTTCAACTATAGCTGTGCTTCTTGAAGTATCTTATCTAAGTAGCACTGACACTTCTAAGAAGGTGCATGTCACTCATGGAACACTTCATGACATGTGTCCGACACACATGAAACATATTATAAGTTTGAACAAAATAATTTAGAAGATGCCATAAAAGAAAAAACAATATAGATTTGTATATATTACTCTCTTTTTTTAAACTTTCAAAATTAGTATAATGTTGTATTTTTTATTTTCTTTTAATGAAATTGTTATATATGTCATAATAAATATATAAATTAAATGTTTTGTGTTCCCCTCACATGTTGTCTCCTACATTTTTTTTTTTAAATTGACATGTCGCTGTGTCATGTCGTGTGTGTTCACGTCTGTATCTTAGAAGTTTGTTTGAGCTGCATGTCATCCTCGTTGGAAGATAATTTTTGTAAAACAAAGTGCTGTTAAATATAAGAAATGCTGGAAATGATACATTGTAAGGTGTCATTTATGCAGAGAGTGTGGGTTGCAGCCTTCAACAACCTGTTCTGATGATGCTGAGATCTGTGCTGTTTGCCTGGAGAGAGCCTGTACAGTAGCTGCTGAAGGTCAGATTTTTCTTCCTGTGTAGACTTCCTGTTGACTTTTTAGGTGTGCCTAGTATATTCTATCTGATTGCTTGATATGTTTTAGTATAGATCGCTTTGTCCGTAAAGCAACTGAAACTTACAGATAATTACTGTCATATTTGACTATAATAATTGTAATAATACTCAATCCGTTGTTTTGACGATTTTGACGGGTATCATCCATTCGTTCTTGATGGTTCTTCTCTTCCTTTTCCCTCTTCCCTCTTTTCCAGCATTTGTTTAATTCAAACTATGATGGTTAATTGCCTGATGGACTAGGAGGTCTGTGAAAGTAAAACTTCTGGTTCTGTTTTTTGTTGAATAGGTTAGCTAGGAGGTTTTGTTTTGTCATTTTTATGTAGAATTGTATTCTTTCATTGTTTTTGGGCTAGTTTGAGGTCTTTAGCTATGAAGTATGGATAATCCAAAAATGTTGCCGTACTTGTACTGGGTACTAATACTCATACTGATAGTGTTGCATGTGTGCTGGGTACTAAAAATACGTACGGGTTTTTTTTATACATTCTTTGTCAGTTATGTACTCCATGGGTGTATTGGGAGTACACCAAGCTATGGGACATTGTTGGGGATACGTTTAATTTATTAGAGAGTTTTTATTTACTTGAAATTGCAAATCCTTTACTTGATGTGCCAAAGATGAAAGATGTATTATTCAATGATGAAGTAGATAAAAGTGAAAACTAAAGCGTCAAGTTTTTAAATTTTGCTTAGCTTCCTTTTGGAATGAAACTTTATTTTGTAATTTCTCCTATTTAATGACATTAAAATAGTTTATAGACTTTGTTTTGGTATTGATATTGTTGAACTATAATTTCTCTTTTGGTTTTGTAATTTCTCTTTTTAGTTTTGATATTGAACTTTGATTTATAGATTGAATCTCAAATTATAAATTATAAAAAATAAAAAAAAATTATTGACGTATCCTAGCCGTATCCTAGCCGTATCCGTATCCTATTTTTTTTAAGTCTTGCCGTATCGGTGTACCTGTATCATACCCGTACCATTATGCGTACCCACACCCATGCTTCATATGTCTTATGTTCTTGGACATACTTTTGTTTCCTTTTTGAAATCCTAGACATCTAATCCCAAGTGGGTTATATTTTTTTGTTGATTCATGATTGGGGGATCTTCTTGAGGGAATTAAGCGGTCACTTTCATAGTTTTGCTTTTGGTATTAATTTTTCATCAAAGTGATTCCCCATTGTACGTCTCTAATAATGAACTGTAATTTATTATTTCAATGACCATGCTGCAAAGTTGAGGAGAGTGCATCATCTGCTTGAATAACGTTGATATTGTACTCTAAATAGAGGATCTTGATAAATAATGGGAATATTATTGATCTATTAGAAATGTACAGGGAAAAGACTATATAGGTAGATTAAAGCTAGCTAATCCCTACAAATCAGGAATGAGATTCCTATAACACAATCCCTATAATCAAGGATATGACTAATCTAAATATAAATTCAAATATTTACAGCTTTCCTAACTAATTATAGCCAGCTCACACACGAATCCAGCCTGGCTATCTTTGACACTCTCCTTCAAGCTAGTGAGTGGATATTATCCATTCTTAGCTTGCCAACAATATTCCGAAAGACTGAATGGTTTAACCCTTTAGTTAGCACATCAGCCACTTGACTGTCTGAACGTACAAACCAGTGTTATTAAAGGCGCGCCTAGGTCCAAGTCCCATCCAGGCCCAAGGTTTGCGTCTTGTAGTGTTCTAGGCTAGGCGACTTCGATAAGTTGCGCTTAAGGCGTGCGATTGAGCCAAGGCGCAGTAAAGCCCAAGGCTGCGCCTTGGGAGCTTTTCTTTTTTATTTTTTTTATTGTTGCTTTGATTGGTCTTGCTTGAAATTTAACCATTGATTTAATATAGTTCAGCTGCAGAAGATCACTACTCTTAAGTACAAATGCCAATACATTGGGTATTTAGTCCCAAATCAACAATAAAAGAAAATTTAGCCCTAATTCCTAATCTCCAAAGAACTCTTTGCTGCTGCCTGCCTTCGTTGTCCAATCTAGCAGCTCCAAAAATTCTTTTTCATGTTGCAGTCTTCTTCTGTTCTTCTTACGTTTCTCTCTCATTCTCTTCTCTTCTTCTTCTCTACTTCTCTTCTCTATGTTGCTATCTTCTTCACATGGATGTGATCTTCTTCACATGGATATGATCTTCTTCCATCTTATGCTTATTCTCTGGTCTCCTCCTCTTTCTCATCCCTCTTTGGGCTGAATAGTTTTTTTTCCTCTTCTTGTTCTTCTTCTCCCCTCTTCTTATTCATGTTTTATGTTAAATTTTGAAATAATGTTAATTTGTCTATGTTAAAATAGTAGTGTTGGTATTTATACTTTTAAATGTTTAATATTTTATTTTGGTTATGTTGGATCCTAAATTATTTGCTTATATTAAATTATATTATACATATATATATATATATATATATATATTTTACGTAAAAGGCGCGCCTCACTTCGTTAAAGCCTGTGCCGTGCCTTGCCTTGTGCCTTGCACGTTGCACGTTGCACCTAGGCCCCCAAGAGACCTTGGCACCTCGGTGCACCTATCGCCTTTAATAACATTGGTACAAACGGTGTGCAGATTAGTCCACTGCCTAGCTTTTCTTTTATGAAGTGTACATCAACTTCAATGTGTTTGGTTCGATCATGTTGCACAGGATTATGTGCAATTTTGATTGTTGACTTGTTATCACAATAAAGCTTCATAGGTCCTTCCCACGCGACTTTCAGATCTTCTAAAACTATTTTCAGCCACAGAAGTTCACGAACTCCTAATGCCATTGCCCTGAATTCAACTTTTGTACTTGATCTAGCAACCACATTCTGCTTCTTGCTTCTCTATGTTATAGGGTTTCCTCAAGGAAAGTACAATAGCCCGATGTTGATTTTTTGTCATCAATAGATCTTGCATAGTCTGCATTTGTATAAGCTTCTAATGTTAACTTGCCTCCTTTCTTGAACAATATTCCTCTTCCCAAAGTTCCCTTGAGATACTGTAGAATCCAATGTATTGCTTGGAGATGGATCTCTTTGGGATTATGCATGCATTGGCTTACCACTCCTACTGCATAGGCTATGTCTGGTCTAGTGTGTGAGAGGTAAATCAATCTACCAAACAATCTTTGATAGGCCTTTCTATTTACCACTGCGTCTTCTACAGCTTCACAAAGCTTTTGATTTTGTTTGATAGGAGTTTCCACTGGTTTACACCAAAGCTTCCCTGCCTCAGCTAACAAATCCAGTATATACCTTTGTTGGGATATAAAAATCCCATGTTGAGAGAGAGCAACTTCAATGCCGAGAAAGTATTTCAATATGCCAAAGTTCTTTTATTTCAAACTCTTGAACTAGGTATCTTTTCAAAGCTTCTCTTCCTTCCAAGTCATCTTCTGTTATGATAATATCATCTACATAAACCAAGAAGGCAGTGACTCCCCCTGTAGCTAAATGTTTAACAAATAGTGTGTGATCACCTTGACTTTGCTTATATCCCAAAGCTTTCATAACTCAATAAATCTACCAAACCGAGCTCTAGGGGATTGTTTTAATGCATAAAGGGCCTTCTTCAATTTACACACCTTGTTGCCTTTTGATTCAAAACCTGGAGGGACTTCCATGTAAATTTCTTCATCAAGATCGCCATGTAAGAAGGCATTCTTGACATGATATTGCTGCATACTTCACTCACGGTTGACAGCTAGAGATGGCAAAATCCTCATAGTGTTCATTTTGGCAGGGCAAAGGTTTCAAGACAGTCTATTCCACAGGTTTGGGTATATCCTTTAGCCACCAACCTAGCCTTATACCTTTCAAGTGACCTGTCTGCCTTACACTTTACAGTAAAGACCTCTACATCCCACTGTGTGCCTTTTCTTAGGTAACTCAACCAATTCCCAAGATTTTTTTTTTTTTAAGGGCATACATTTCAACTTTCATATCTTCCATCCATTCCTTATGACCCAATGCTTCAGAAACAGTTTTTGGGATGGTTATAGTGCTTAGGTGAGTAAGATTTATTTATCAAAAGAAAGAAAGAAAGAAAGTAGTGTTTAGGTGAGTAAGGAAGCTTTTATGGCTGTTAGATAACCTCTCATAGGACACAAAGTGGGATAATGGGTATAGCGGACATTGGGTACACTTTCTCACACCCTTCCTAATATCAATAGGAAGATTATAATCATTTTTATCTTCACCATCAGAACTTTCCTCAACATCATCAGTACTATCATCGGTGCCAGGGTTTGGTTCTGATTCAAGATCCTGCATAGGTTGAATAGTGGGTTCTCTCCTCCTTGAATAGACCTACAGTGGGTGAATAGCACTCTGATCTAAATATATTTATCCTTTTCCATAGGACTTGGAGTGGCTAGATCTGTTCGATTAGAAAACTCATTTGAAAAAGATGGGGAAGCGGAGAATGAACGGTCAAGAACAAATCTCTGTCCTTATCTTCCACGAATGATGTCTCCCCCTGAAAATAAGGTTTAGAAAAATAGATTTCACTTTCAGCAAATGTAACTTCAGCGGAGACGAAAAACCTTTTTGTGAGAAGATGGTAACATTTATATCGTTTTTTGGTAGAAGAATACCCAACAATTAAGAGCTCTTGGATCAAGTTTACCCCTTCGATGAGAATGAATATGAGCAAATGACACACAACCAAACACTTTAGGAGGTAGGTGGTTTGTGGTTCGGAAATCTGGAGAGGATGTTGAAAAAAGTTGCATAGAAGATGACCAAGTTTCCTTTCTGCCACCCTGTTTTGCTGTGGTGTATATTAACACATGAAGACTTGTGAATTATTGCTACTTCTTGAAAGAATGGTAACAAGGTTTGATTGAAATAATCCCTAGCATTATCTGATCGGACCCTCTCAGGTTCTACCCCCAAATTGATTTTTAATCATGTGAAAGAATGCTTGGAAGGTAGAGCTAAAATTAGACTTATGTTTTAACAAAAATATCCATGACACGAGAGTGCAGTCATCAATAAATGACACAAACCAATGAGCCCTAGAAACATTTGAAACCATAGAAGGTCTCCAGACATCACTGTGGATGAGACCAAAAGGAATGGACAGTCTTGTATTATTTATTGGCAACGAAGAACGCTGGTGTTTTGCAAGCTCACAAACATCATAATGAAATATACCCAGATCAATCCCATTAAACAAACTTGGAAACATAATTTTAAGAACACTGAAAGACGGATGACCAAGATGAAGATGATACAACCAGATTTTGTTTTTATTTGAAAGAGGTGATTCATAAAGAAATGAGATAGGAAAATTATTCGAAGTGTTATTTTGCCCACTGGATTCTTCAAGGTAGTGGAGTCCATTTTTCTCTCTAGCAAGTCCAATCATTTTCCCTATGGTCCTGAAATTCACAATGTGTAGAAGAGAAGGTCACAACACAATTCAAATTCTTTGTAAGTTTATGAAATGAGACAAGGTTTATGGACAATTTTGGCACATGTAAAACATTCTTTAAAATAATTTTTGAATTGATAACATTTCCCTGACCAGCAACAGTAATCAAACTACCATCTGTAGCAGATATCTTTTTATTACTAGGACAAGGATTGTAAGAGACAAATTCATGAGAAGACTTAGTCATATGATCAGTGGCCCCGGAATCAACTACTCATGAATCTGTTGTGGGCTAAGAAGCATGGACACGGACACGTGACACGACACGGGCACGCCGACACGTTAATTTTCAAAAAATGCAGGACACGACACGTGGGGGACACATAAAATATGTAATTTATATATTTATTATATGTTATAACTATGAATATATTATTCAAAGATAATAAAAAATGCATTATGACACTAATTCTTTTAAATTTATGTGGTTTTGTTTTATTATTGTATCTTAAGTTATTTTGTTTAAACTTATAATTAGTTTCACATGTATCCAATCGATAGACACGTGTTTATGCGATTGACACGTGTCCTCCAAGTGTTCAAAGAGTGTCAGGGTCTTTAAAAAAATTAAAAAAATAAGACACGTTTTGAAGAGTGTCGGACACGTGTCCTAAGAGTGTCGGTGTTTGCACGGACACGACAAGGATACGTCACCTTCTTAGAAGTGTCCGTGCTTCTTAGGTTATGGGCATATTTGAGACATTGAGAGTAAGGGATTGAGAGGCATTACTTGGATAAACTAACAAGTACTTGAGCCCATAGGTTTTTCTAGAGTGCCAAGTAAATTTTTCAGTTTTTCAATCTCGTCCCTGTTGAACTCTGCTCGATCATGGACAAAAATCTGTTTCGCCTCCTGGTTGTACCATAGTCACATGTGCATGTGCTTGTCCTTGTCCTCTTGTTGGTCCACTCTTTACTGTCCAATTGTTGTTGGTGGCTTGAGGATTTTGAAAATTTGCAAGCTTGGTATGAAAATTTGCAGAAAGTACACAATCGAATCTTTGTTTCCATTTTCAATTGTCAATTCACCAGAGTAAGAGCTCGGTGGATAATTTGCTCCACCATTCCTTGCATTAGCACCCCTAACAACCATAGCAGAACCTTCCACGGATTGAGGCTCCAACATAACTCCTCTCCGACTTTCTTCTCCTTGGACTATTCCAATAGTCTGTTGGAATGTGTTTTACATCGCTTGGAATCGTCCCAGTTTCTCTTTTCTTAATACCTAAGTTTTAAGAAGAAGTATGAGTTGGGCTTTTCAATTTGGTATCAGAGCTTGGTTGGGCCTGTGACTAGTGTGCCGTTTGTCCGGCTAGTGTATGTTGTGGTCTAGGAGAGTGCGTTGGAATGTGTCCCACATCGCCTAGAGTTGCCCCATCTATACTGGTTATAAAGTTTTAGTTTCCTTCTCTTTAAAAGCCCAGCTCACACTTCTCCTTGAAACCTAGGTATTAAGGAAAGGAAATGGGCGCATTCCAACACACCCTCCTGGACCACAACATACAGTAGCCAGACAAATGGCATACCAGTTACAGGCCTAACCAAGTTCTGATATCAAATTGAAAAGCCCAGCCCATACTTCTCCTTAAAACCCAGTATTAAGGAGAGGAAAACTGAGACCTTATAATTAGCACATATGGGGCAACTCCAGACGATGTGGGACACATTCTAACATAGTCTCATTCAAAGGTGGAAGATCTTCTTTTCCAAGAACTTGAATTTTGACAGCATCAAACTCAGCATTCAATCCAGCATGGAAAATGTAAATTCTTTTCTTCTCCATAAGCCTCTTAAGAATGGTAGTCTTCACTACACTTCATCTCAATACATTGATAATGATCAACTCTTGCCATAAGTTTTGCAAGATTGTAGAGTATTCAGTAATAGAACGATTACCATGTTTAGTGGCTGAAATTTTGGTCTTGATATCATAGACTTTGAGAAGCATCACGAACCTTCGAATAATTATGTTTACATGTGTTCCAGATGTCCTTTGCAGTTTCCAAAAAGATGCAGGTATGATTCACTTCAGGTATCATCGAGTTCCATAGCCACGACATTATGTTATCTCTTCCTCTTGTCCTTTTAGCATCATCTACTTTAAACCAAACCACTCACTAATGCTCATTAGTTTTGTCATGTATAGTCAAACCATCCTAACAATAATTACATCATCTACTCCTTATAATGAGTACCTTTAACATGTCATGAAAACGTTCACTTATAATTGACTTCATATTGTCTTGCCATTCATACATGATTGCCAACAAGTATATGGGCCTTGTTTGGTTTGTTTTTCAGAAAAAATTTTGGGAAAAATTCTCTACAAACAAATTTTCAAGAGTAATCAAACCAAACAAATTTTTTCAAAAAAAATCTCAAAATTTTGTTTGGTTACCTACTTTCCAAAATCACTCTGTCTCATACACATCAAATCAATCACTTTTTTTAAAACTCTCTCCCCAAAATAATTTTCCAAAACCGTTTTTGAAAAAAGGCAAACCAAACAAGTTTTCGTACTTTTTATCTCAAAAACTACTCTACAAATACAAACCAAACACACCCATGATATTTTCTTATGATATTATTGTTATTTGCTTTCCACACAACATGGGAACTCTACCCCTTTTGAAATTTTATTTCAAGCTTATTCATTGCACATAGTCCTTTTCAATATCCCCTTCTTGAAGAGTTTATTTATTTATTTATTTATTTTTTCTCCGGTAGGATGTTAATTTGTTAGTAAAGTTAGATTATAATTAAAGGGGTCACTACTACTCCATCAGCTCGAATCCCGGACATTCCCCTCACCATACTCTTAGGTGTGGCTACAAGACCACTTGGCCAAACCCAAAGCCAAAGTGTCCCTTCATGAAGGTTGATAGATATGAAATAATAAAGAATGGCATTTTCTTCCTCATGTACTTTAAAAATCAATTTTAAATCTCTCTTTTACTTCTCCTTTGGTTTATTTAAGATTCATGTGTCCTAAGCCTGTTTATAATTATTCTTTCAACTACAAGATATCTGTCCATGGTTTTGAGTCTTCTGATTTGCTTCCTACTCAATTATGATTCTGTTGTCTGCAAATAGTGCAGATTAAAAGCCTTTTTTCTTGATGCACCCAATAGTGTTTTTCATAGCGAGCAGTGTTTGAGGGTTTAAGAATTTGGTTCAGCTATTGGTCTTTCTCACATGAAGTCAAATCAAATTAACGGGATTGAAGGATCTGGCAACTCACTTATGGTATATTTGCTTGACAAAAATATATAGAGGAAAGCCTAGATGATTAGGCAGCAATCTCCATATCAAATATGCAGGTTGCAAGTTTTCCTTCCTTTCCTTATAAGGACTTCAAATTCGTTGCTTCTTCCAACATTGTTTCGCTTATGATCCTTTCATTTTTATTTTTATTTTTTTTAATATTTATTGTTGGAGTAGGTTAAATTTCCTTGTAGGTTATTCTTTTTAATTTTTGTAATACATCCTTTTAGGTTATTCACTGGTACTGCAAAAATTGTATGGTTTTGTTTGTCCATTTTATTGAAGCTACTGTTAAAAACCCTTTCTTTGTGGTTCCTCAATTTCATTATTAACGCTAGTATGTTCTCAGGTTGTGGGCATGAGCTGTGTGTAAGATGTGCACTCCACCTTTGCTCAACAAGCAACATCTCTTCTGAATTAGTGGGGCCACCAGGGTCCATTCCTTGCCCTCTTTGCCGAAATGGAATTATCTCTTTTGTCAAACTGCCCGGATCTTCAGCAAAGGAAATCAAAATTCATTTGTCCCTTAGCCTCTGTACATCATGCATGCTTCACCCTCGCGAAGCAGATTGTTCAACACCAGCAGCAGCAGCAGTAGCCCGAACGACAGCTATTCGAAAGAATCGTGTAGCTTCTGTTTCTTCTGATCTTTTCTGCCCAGTGACATGTAGTCCATTTCCATCTGTTGCACTTCCTTTGTGCACTTGTAGTGATGGGCCATGCCCCTCTTATGAACCCCGTGAGGTTGAAACACAAGAGTCTCCTCATCACTCCCAATCCTCGTCAGTAGACCACGGCAAAATGGAAGGAGGGGTAAGGCTCGAGAAAACAAGTTGTTCGGGCATGTTTTGGGGCAGAAGAAGCTGCAGCAGAGAGCACCAGTGCAATTCAGAAATAAATGCGTGACTAGCTTGGTGTATGATACTCTGCATATTCTGGTGCTGGGAATTTAGGCAACAGCACAATTCTCCATTGGCTTGATGGTAGTTGGTCTCCCCATTTTCAGATGCTAGTATTTTCAAATCCGTGTTTGCTTCTGCTGCTGCTTGTGTTGTTGGTTTGGTGCATGGTGATAGATCCAGTTTTGGGATTACGGTGGTGTTGTTTTGATGATGTTTCAAATTGCTTGATTAAAATATTTAGGGTAGGGCTTGTAAAATTTTTATGTTTGGGTTGTATATTGATTGGAAGTGATGATGAATGTGATCAAAGGGCTGAACATTTTTTTAGAAAATGGAATTATGTTATATATGATTCTCAAATTAATCTTTATATTTCCGCTAAACTTTTCAGAACTATATAGGTTTTGATTTTGTTGCAGTGGTTTGTATTTTGTCTCAGATGTACCCAACCATTACCTTGTTTTGAAATGGTCTCTTGAACCCTGTTTCGAAGCTCATAATTTATGTTTCCTCTTTGGATTTAAAACCCATTTAAGCCAAAAAAAATGAAGGAAAAATTGCATATCAATTGAGTAAAAAAACTATATTTTTATAATGGTGTAATTCTCATGTGTATTGTGTAAATTCATTCATGTACTTGGTGTAGCTCTTTTTGTGTGTTGTACAATTTTTTATTTTACATTTTTAGTATAATTATCTTGTGAGTGTCACATTTATTTGTAATTTTTTCAAAAATAAACAACTCAGATAAGAGAGGAAGACGTTTAAGAGGAAAGACGTTTAAGATTCCGAGGAATGAGGTGGTACTAGGAATGCTTGTCTGGTAAGATGAGAGTTTTCCACACTTTATATTTTGAAAGATTAGAGGCTTGTTTGATTTGCATCTTAAAATATAATTTTTGAGAAATTTTTTTAAAATTCTATTTGGTTCAGATTTTTTGAAACAAATTTTTAAAATCACTCTCTCTCATACATATCAATCAATCATTTTTTCTCTTTCCTCTCTCATTCTCAATCACTTTTTCTTTCACGCATATCTACTTAACTACAACAAAATATCAAATATTTCAAATTTCTAAAGGAAAAATTACTCTAAAGTTCCTCTCTCATATTTAGTAATGGAAGACATCCACAATATTATTTTTTGATGTTTAAGGTCCCTCCTATCTATCACAAAGAAATTCAGCCTCGTTGATTGTTGTTTCTCTTCCTAAGCCACTTCGTTCGACGAACTACTGGCTAAAAAGCTGGGCAGAGTTGGGATTCCACCATCGACAGCAACAGGGAAGCCATGGCTTCGGCCAGGAGCTGAGAGAAGGAAGGGTAGTTGGAATCGGAGTAGCTGTCGGAAAAGAAACTCGAGACGAGGGTCATTGGACCAGGGCTCAAACCGGCGAATGTAGATCTGTCCGGTGGCAACTAGGCTATCAAAGAACTGATGGAGCCAGCTCAGGTCCTGTTTGAGGCAGTCAAGGTCAAAGTGGGGCCATCCAACGACATTCAAGCTGTAGGAGGGCAGACAGAGCTTCAGCTTTGAGAGTTTTTGACTGAGGTTGCTTCAACCAAGGGCGCGCGATTCGAGGTTTCTCGGTCGGAAGTGGCTCAAGCAGTCCCGGTCAGTAGTTCAAGTGCATCTTTGGTGGCAGTTGGTATTGAGGAGGGAATTACTATGTCCAGGGGTGAAGATGGGCTGATCAAATTGAAGGATCAATTAGGTTTAGAGGTTGTGTTTGAGGCAATACAGGTCAAGTCAGAGCCATCCGGGTTTTGGTTCGATCGTCAGTGTGTGTGAATGTATGGATTCTTCGTCTATCAGTGCGTGGAATTCTCAAAAGCCTACTAAATTCGAATTAACTCTCGAATTTTGTTTATTCAATTAACAGGAATGTTGAAACAGACAAGTTACAGAGCTCCAACAACTCAGATGATAGCTAGAGAAAATCACAGGTGTGAGTATGTGATTTGGTCAGAGAAATTTGGGAATTTCTCTGATTTGGAGAGAATTTCTCTATGAAGTCACTAGAGAAATTCTATGCAAACCAGAATTCTCTGTGAAGTTTAGAGAAAATTCGACTGGAGTGAATTTCTCTGAATTAAATTTTCTCTGGTTTGGACCAGAGAATTTCTATGGATTAAATTGAATTTTCTCTGGTTTTGGACCAAAGAATTTCACTGAATTGAATTTTCTCTAGTTTGGACCAGGGAATTTCTCTGGATTAAATTGAATTTTCTTTAGTTTTGGACCAAAGAATTTCAGTGGATTGAATTTTCTCTGGTTGAATTTTCTTTGGATCGAATTTTCTCTAGATTAATATTGAGGGACCTTAGACATTATAAAAATATTGACTGTTCTTTATGCTATAAAATCATAATACCAGGGACCTTAAAAAAAAACTCCATTCCCAAACTTCCAACTATTTTCAAAATATATAACCAAAGAAATCAAAAAAATTTCTAAACTCTTCACATGCATGGATCCCTAATTTTATTTTTTTTGAAATTTTATCTCAAAATACAAACCAAACACACCCTAGATATATCTCCAATAGCAATTACACAAAATATAACCATTAATTTCGGTTGTAAACTTAAATCATATTTGAGTGAGTGGAAAGTGGATTTGAGATTGATTTGTTACGTAAATAAGTTAATCGTGAATATATGTTAAAATTTGTGACGTACTCTAGTCAAATTTGAACAAATTATTATTTGATTTAGTGAATTTATATGCACTAAAAAAAAAAAAAAACTCAAATTACTTAAACTTTGTATATTGTTGACTCGATTAAAACTCGTTTGAAATTCATTCTATCAAAGCTTGTTTGAGATTGACTCAAAAAATAAAAAATCAAATTTAAACATATTTTGAAATGTCTTAAATATTTATACCAAACTTGAACAATATGGATCAACTCAACTTAATTCATGTGCAATTGTACCATTAAGTGATGTAATTGTGAACATAAAATATTTAGGTCTCGGAGGACAAGTATTAGTCATTTTATTTTTCAAAAATTTTAAAAGAGCAAACTTTAAATAACTGAAAATATTCTTAAAACAAAAAATAAGGGAATTTTTGAAAATTCGGATGGTGGCCTGGTTCCATCCCTGCTGTCAACTCAATAAAAAAAAAAAAAAAAAAAAAAAACTTTTCTTTTGTGACACAAATTTGAATCCAAATACTTGGTTTGAAAGCAAAAATATTGTTGGGGATTCACTGTTTGATCTTTCCTGTTCCTTTGAAAAGATAATAACCACTGAACGGAGCCTCATTACCTTTGCTTCAACAGAAAACTGAAAAATTTTGTCAACCCAAACAAAGACCAATTACTGTTCGACCTATGAGCTACCTCTAAGAAAGGGGCTGTTTACGTGATGAATGGACTTTGTTATAGTTTTCCTAATATAAGTAGAGCTTCTGGTCTAACTTATTATTACATGTAAGGATCGCAAAATCTCGTCCAAAACTGCGTTACTAAGGCCGGTCACCAATACGGCTTAGGTCAATTGATACAAAAAAAAATACTGTTAGAAATTGGCCGTCCATGTGATATGATCCTTTGAACTTTTCGAACCTTATCCATGTAAATTTGAATTTGAATTCGAAACTTATTTGGATAACTACTCAGGATATCTATATCTATCATATCAACTGATATGGATAGATGATATATTTATCCTATATATCTGATATGATATATGGGATATGGGTATCAGAAAACAACGTATGTTTTTGTTTTTTCCATACTGACTCTCTCTCATTAAACAACAATCAAGTCATTTTGCACTGTGACTTGTGTGAGTGATACTCATTTTGTAGTATCACTCCACTGCTGGGTTGGTTGTTTACATTTTGGAAGCACGTGATTTACTCACGAGATTTTTCGCTTCAGGCTCTGCTAAAATGTATGATTTTGAAATTTTTCATCCACTGCGTTATATTTTGATTTACATTGGTATCAGAGCGTATATGGGTATTTTCATTTTTTTTTTAATCATGTGTATATTTTTATTAATATATACACATTATATGCATGAAAATCAATGAAGGAGGAAGATGAAGTGCAGGGGTTTTGCACTTCCACTCTCATTAGATTGAAAGTGTAAAATACCTCATTTTTATGTTCATTAAATGTCATTTTTAAGATCATAAATATTTTTATTTTGAAAAATGGAGTCCGGCAATACCGAAATTGGACCAGAAAACACCCTGGAAGGCGGCGCGTGGGCCGCACGCGCCATCTGACGCTGTGAGCTGCTTCCACGCGCTGCTATACGCTGCCACGTGCCAGACGCACTTCCCACGCGCCTCCACGTGCCATCACGCGCCCGTCAGCGACGCTGTCCACGCATGCGCCATCCACGCCACGCACACGCGCCGTGCGCTAAGCCGCCAGCTGAGCTGCACCGTTTTCCTCCGCCAGCTTGGCTGGCTTGGCTGTTGATGTTAAGGCACTGTTTGTTTTTTTTTAATTCTAAATCGCGTTAAATGGTCATAAATAATTCGTTATAGATTTGTTTTATGCGTGGTTGGTACTGTTAGACTCAGAATTAAATTTTCTATCATGCGTAAAATTTTAAAAATTTTATGAAAAGAAAAAATATTTTTTCTGTGATAATAATTCATTATTTCTGCTTGAAAATGCTTCTGGTGTTGCATGATTAATTTTCTGGGGTTGAAATTTTTATTGTAGACTACTGCAAAGTTTTACCATTTACTGGTATAATTGTTTCAGTTTACTAGATTCTGGAATATTTATTTCTAATTTTATGTGTGTTTATTAGTTATTTAAAATTTCAGAAAATTTCAGAATGCTGTATATTTTATTATGGAATAATCTGAATATTAAACACAGCATATTATTTTTTTTAGGATTTGTAATATGTTGTGATTAGAGAAGCATGCTTAGTTTTTATTTATTTATTTGAATTACATTATTAAATGAATATAACATGAGTTATTTATTAAGATGCTATTGTATGGAAATTATCATGCTTAGTATATGCCATAAGCAGTGGGAGATTGATTGTTTTTTTTTTTTTTTTTGCACATGGAATTAAATTAAATATTGATAATTATCACTAGAGGCGCAAGAGATGATTACGAGCATAGCAAATTTTCAATCTTGAGACATGTGTAAAATTATCATTATTTAATTTAGATTCTTTTGCTGCAAAAGATAATTTTTTGTGTTGCTATCATTGATATCCCCTGTGCATTTTTTTTACTCTGTATGTAGAAATGGTTGCTAAGATAATGGTGGTAGACTTAACTAAGGGAAAGAAATTGGATGGCGACAATTATGACATATGGCGCCGTAAGATCCAGAGCAAGAAGTGTTGATCACACTTGAACAAGTGATGATTGAGCCAGAGTAGGGCAATACAGCTCAACGTCGTTGTGATCTTGAAGTCTTT